ATTTATAAAAATATAAGTCTATTTAATATATAAAATTTTTTATGTTTCTATTTTTTTATTCTTGAAACTTTTATGATTGCATAATTTTTATTATACAAAATAAAAGTAATTAAAAATGTGTACAAATAATTATCAATGCTTATGCATTAGACAATGAAATTACATTTTTCTGCTACGATAAATGTTAGGAAAAGGTTACTACAATTTGCAAAGATAATGTTTGTTCTATGAATGCGCAGGTGTAGCTTGTACCTCGAACCGATATCGTTTTTCTTTTGAAACCGTAATTCGTTTGAAGTTCACGCTGACTAATCGTAAATCAATGGATATTATTATTTACGTTCGCTCTCCCATTTATACCTGCGTCACGAATCAGATTAGAAATCATGCTCGACTTGTCTCGTGAATGGTATTTGCCTATACGTAGAAGTTAAAGCCCTATAAGTAATTTAAAATGGAACAAAGCAATAAAAAGAGATTTAAGACTTTAACATTCTCATAGAATCATATTCTTAAATCGAATTATATTCTAAAAGTTCAATTTAAATTATACGTATTATATTAAAATGATGTTAACTATACATGAATAGTGACAGTAATAAATAATCCTTGTCTAAACCTTTTAGTTTCCTTTCAAGTTACTTTATTTCGTACCGTTTAAGTGAATTTCCGCAGGAAAAAATGAAATTGTAACGATTTCGTAACGATTTCCGTTACTTCCACCTTGCGCAAAGTGAAATACACCTTTCGCACGCGATCAGTCGTATCGTGATAGTGATCGAAGTACAAACGAAACAATTAACAATTATTATTACGGTATATACAGTACGGACAGAGTTGGCACATGTGTGTGCCTGCGGGTTATAGCCACGCTATTAGGAAGCTTCGCTTGCGTAAAAGCACTTCCTCAAGGTAGTTACAAGGTACAGTAACATTTATGTAATTGTACTTCCGTTACGAACTTCTAGTTACATATAAATCTCATTGTACTTTCCAATCTGATTCAAGAACGAAGATTTAAAATAATTATATACGTCAAATATAAAAGATAAGCCGAAAGAGAATACCTTTCTTATTAAAATTATCTAAAAAATGATATTCCTATTGAAATGAAATTAATAAACAGTATTATATCATTTACTTCTCTATTCTATGCATATAATTTTTTAATAATGTTTTGTTTATAAAAAGAACATAATAAACATGATTCACATAATAAACATGTGATTTACATTAAATTTTTTGTTATATAATTTTAGTGATTTTTGTATAAATAACAAAACGGTAAAATAAATCTAATAAAAGAATTAATTAATTTTTTATAAAATAGAATAGATGTAAAATGTTATGTATAATTATATTATTTATATTGTGTAGAATATTATTATTTTATTAATTTACAATTAGAGAAGATTATTAACTAGAAAGCTAATGATTAAATGGAAATAGAACTACACATTAAAGTTAGATCAAAAGGACTGATAGATGATTAAAACCACTTATATAATGGCCATCGTTATAAAAAACTGTCATCTTGATATCATAGTTAAGATATATTGAATAGAATAGACGATAAGACGTGTCAAGCTTGTAGCGCACGTGCAGGGGGCGGCGTCCGAGGAAACACGTTTTATCGCGGAAAAACATTCATTACGAAGAGAGAAAGTATGCAACAACGCGTGCTACGTAATGCACCACACGCTGCATTCATTATTCATGCAACCGCTCTATCGGATAGATAGCATGCGATCGCGTATTTGTGCTCCCGTTATTGGGGAAGTTGCTCCAGTTCCTCGATAAACGGTCAATAGAAAGGAAATTTATTTCGAGTGATGCCTGCTGCTCGTCTAGAATTATTATGATTTCGAGACGACGGAGACACGAGTATGACGTATACAATCGATTACAACCTCACAAACAAAGATAAATCGATTAAGAAAACCGACAGTTCTTCGTGATATCGCGAATATCTCAAATATTTCTTATCCTCAAAAAAAAAAAAAAATAACTCAAAAGACACAGAAAAATTCTTCTAATTAAATTACAATTAATAATAAATAAAAAGATTTAAAATTAAAAAAGAAGAAAAATAAAAAATCAATAGTGAAAGTCAAATAAAGCTTCCAATTTTTGAAGTTTGATAATTGAAGATATACGATATTTCAAATTTTTTTTCATTCATCCTTCTCAAGCAAGTTATGACTTTCCACTTATTATAAATTCAATGCATATCATAGTGTAATCTGTCAAGATAAAATAGCGTACCGAATGCATCTCCCGATTGCCATTCAAATAGATCCATATCTAACTGCGATTGAAACTCGAGCATTAATAGTTCCTCCAGTTAATCGAGGGATATATTTGTCGGGATAGTAATCAAGATTTATCGTCGTGAAATGTGCTACTGGCAGACTAGGCGACTGGGAACCTAATTAAATGCCTGTGCATGTAAATTATTATATTGGTACTGGTGTCATGCTTGCTTTACTGGTCAACTCTACGCTCGAATGATTATTACCCGACTTGGGGGCGTGTTCATTAACTTGGGGGCTCGATTTAAATCAACGATACGCAACATTTTCTACCAACTGGTTCGAATGCGTAGACATTTCAATAATTATCAGTCTAATATCAAGATACGTATAACAACTACAAGATACGTGTAACATACGAATTAATCTACACGATTTAATAATGTAGACGGTATTACCTTGTTTTCATCACTTTCTCTTCTTATCGTTTCGAAAAAAGAATGAAATATATCATATCAGCTAAAGAAAATTATTAGAATTAAAATAAACTTGATAAATAAAAAATAGTGTTTCAGAAAAATTTTAGTATAATAAAATGTTAACATTAAAATAATACATATATAGAGAAAATTTATTAAAATTTGAATAAAATTTAAATAAAATTAGAAGATATTGCAGTGTAAATAAAAGTTAATAGGAAATTATTAAGAAAAGACCAGTTTAATAAAGAGACGGAAGATTAATAAAAAAAACAGATTGCGCAAATAAGCGACTTCGTGATCACGATAGACAATATATTTCGCGTGATCGCATTTTGGGGCCATAACGATTCTCTTTTTACGCTGTCATTGCAACGCGAGGAAACGAATATCCGTATGCAGAAAAAGCTTGTCGCAAGTAATAATTCGCAATGCACCTGATTGCTGTAGCAGTCATAACTGTATATTTGCCAGTCGGCTACGCACCGCTGCGAATTGAGCTCGCAGCAATGTTTTATGAAGAAAACATCCGTTTCTATACGTTATTCTATATAGATTGGCTGGCATTCTACATTCTCGAGCTTCAACGCTTCAAACGGAAAAATTGAAAATCTCTGAACGACTTGCAGTATAATTATAGGTGGGTGAGCAACGTGGACTCTCCGACATTCCGCGGTAACGTTCACTTTGATGTAAATGATTCGCTCGTGCCATTTCAGAAAATTAATCGGAGAACGTAAGAATTTTCAATGGGATTCCGTCATATCTATTTTAATTTTGCATTAATAGGATATATCTGACTCACATCAGTTGTTAAAGAATAATTTACCAATCCATATTTTGAATTAAATTAAAAGAATCAATTTTGGAAAAGAATTTAGTTTTAAAAATTAGCTTTAGGCTTCAAAATTAATTAAATCACAGGAAAAATATTTTTTAAGGAACAGGAATTGTTCCTTAAGCTTATTTTTTTAATTAATTAAATTTC